ATCTATACTAATAAAAGGGTAATATGCTAATTAGACTGAACAACTTCCTAGCAACTTTCCAGACGTCCTTTCGGACAAAGCCATGGTGGCGGGGCCAAGGCAGAGGCAGTTAGGGGTGATCAGGCCAGCAGGGGAGAGCAGTTAGGGAGATCAGGCTGGCAGGCAGGTGAGCAGTTAGGAGCCAGCGGTTCCAGATTGCAAGGGGGATGTCCGATTGGAGAGGGTGCAGGCTGAGCTGAGGGGAACCTTCCCTGCCCACCCCCCTACCCCCGCACAGATTTCATGCACCCACCGGGCCACTATTGTTAAATAAGAGTGGTGAAAGTGGACATCACTGTCTTGTTCAGGTTCTTAGGGGAAATGGTTTTGGTTTTTGCCCATTGAGTAAGATGTTCACTGTTGGTTTGTCACATATGGCCTTTATTATGTTGAGGTATGCCCAATCTATTACAACTTTGCTGAGAGTTTTTGTTTTTTGTCAAAAATGGGTGTTGGATTTTGTCAAATGCTTTTTCTATATAATCATGTGCTTTTTGTCTTTGAATTTGTTTATGTGATATATCATGTTTATTGATTTGCACATATTGTCCCAGCCTTGCATCCCTGGAATAAATCCCACCTGGTCATGGTGTATAATCTTTTTAATATATTGCTGAATGCAATTTGCTAATATTTTGTTGAGGATTTTAGCATCTATGTTCATCAGGCATATTGGCCTGTAATTCTCTTTCTTTGTAATGTCTTAATTTTTGGAATTAGAATAATACTGGCCTCATAAAAAGAGCTTGGAAGTGTTCCTTCCTCTTGGATTTTTTGGAATAGGAAAGGTGTTAGTTCTTTTTTGAATGTTCAGTAAAATTCCCCTGTGAAACCATCCGGATGAGGGCTTTTGTTGGCTGGGAGTTGTTGTTTTTTTTTATTGCTGCTTCAATTTCTTCAGTTGTTATTGGGCTATTCAGGTTTTCTGATTCTTTCTGATTCAGTTTTGGAAGATTGTACATTTCTAGGAATTTGTCCATTTCATACACATTGTCTAGCTTGTTGGCATATACTTGTTCATAGTAGTTTTTTTACAATCCTTTGTATTTCTGTGGTGTCAGTGGTTACTTCACTACTTTGGTTTCTGATTTTATTTATTTGATTCCTATCTCTTTGTTTCTTGATGAGTCTGGCTAAAGGTAGAGCTTTGAGCTGAACTTGAAACTATATATCGAACAAATGATTACCAATTTCTTCTCTAAATGTATTATTTTAGTTTGACCATAAAATGTTTATTACCATTAATTGCAAACTAGGCTGCAGGACACATATATCTTTAAATTTGCTTTCTAAAAATAATTTTGGAATTCCCTGTTTGGGCAAAGCAAAATGTAAGAATTCATCGGAAATTTCCCTCTCTTCCCTCTCTTCCCTCTTTCTCTTTCTCACTGTCTTTGTTTAAGATACATTCATATTGCCTTAACCGGTTTGGTTCAGTGGATAGAGCTACGGCCTGCGGACCCAAGAGTTCCAGGTTTTATTCCGGTCCAGGGCACATGCCTGGGTTGCGGGCCCGGTCTGATGTGCAGGAGGCAGCCAATCAATGATTCCCTCTCATCATTGATGTTTCTATCTCTCTCTTCCTCTCCCTTCCTCTCTGAAATCAATAAAATATATTTAAAAAATACATTCATATTTTTATAGGAAGTCTATAAGAAATGGGTAAGAAAATAGATTATTAATCACAGTGATTTAGTCATTACAAATGCAATATATTAAAATCATTGTAAGGCTAATTATTAGTGTTCTGATGGATTGAACTTGAATACATTTCTTATTCTTTTGACTACATGTTTGATGTAGATCTCAGGAAGTTCTTAGTTCTTTTTGATAATGAAAAACTATTACCCTTTCAAATAGGACAGTGTTTTAAATCCTGATTGACTTAATAACTAAATGATAATAAAATCCTTAGAATCTAGTTTTAACATTTTTTGTGTGTGTATGCAGTTTGAATATGTATATTGCATACAGGTTGACCTTAATATTTCTTGACTTTTTAGAGCTCAAATTATAAATTATTTCAAAAATACTTTGTTTAAAGGGTAAATACCATTTATTTTGAATACTGTAAAAACATAACAGGCTGTTATGAAAAATAAACTGAATTTTTCATTCTATTTTTGTTTAGTTACTTTATTTTAAAATACTTTAATAAGCTTCTAAGGATATTCTGGAAAGTGAAATTTTCTCATAACCGAATGCTAAGTATGTTTTTGGTTCAACTTTGAAACGACCATACATTTAACATAGTGTATACCTGGTAGTCTAGTTTGATACATTTTTGTTTAATAAATATATGATTCAAAAGTTCTGGTACCAGGGTAGCACCTCGCATGGAACATAGTGAACTTACCAGGTTCCTGTCGCTACTATAGCACTTACCACATTTTATTACGTCTTCTCCCCTTCCTGTGATGTTGGTGCTTGCTCATTATCTTTATTATTCTTCACTAGAGGCCCGATGCATGAAATTCGTACAAGGGGCTTGGCCCCCCGCAGCTGCCGCCTCTGCCTCAGCCCCTGCCCGCAGTGGCTTCATCCGGAAGGTTGTCCAGAAGGACGTCCAGTCTAATTAGCATATTACACTTTTATTATTATAGATAGTGTTTGAAATAAAGTATTTTTTCAGCAAATTTGTTGAAAGAGTTAAAAGTATATACAGTTGCATTGTTTAGTCTCTATTATTTAAGTATAATGCACTTTACTAATCACATGTTAATTTCAGTATCAGTATACTGGGAGAGTCTGGAGACTCCTTAGTGAAACCATTAAGTTGAAGTTGTCTGCCATCAGTTGAATAGGCTTACAGACAAAATTTGAATCCTTCCTCAAAACTTCATAGGAGCAGATAGCAAGCCTTAAAACGCTATAAGAAATTGACAATATTTAAAGAGAATTTTGTTAAGTGTGAAAAACTAGAGATCTTCTAAACAGCTGAAGGATAACAGGTTGCTGTATATTTACAGTTGTCTTTGCATCTCATAGCTAGTAGAATAATTCTAAAGTAAATTGAGTTTCACATTATACAATTACATAGTAGTAGATGCCTTTGGTGACTCACATAATATATCCTTAGTCATCAGTTGTGGTGGACAGACACTGTGAGCTCAGAGGCCCCAGCCCTGACAGAGTTTCACTTTAAATGTGTGTTGCTTTCTTTTCTACTTTCTGCAACACTGCTGGAGTCCACTGTGGATGTCCCCTTATTCAGGGCCTAAGTATAGACTAGAACAGCGGTTCTCAACCTGTGGGTCGTGACCCCTTTGGGGGTCGAACGACCCTTTCACAGGGGTCTCCTAAGACCATCGGAAAACACATATATAATTACATATTGTTTTTGTGATTAATCACTATGCTTTAATTATGTTCAATTTGTAACAATGAAAATACATCCTGCATATCAGATATTTACATGACGATTCATAACAGTAGCAAAATTACAGTTATGAAGTAGCAACGAAAATAATTTTATGGTTGGGGGTCACCACAACATGAGGAACTATATTAAAGGGTCGCAGCATTAGGAAGGTTGAGAACCACTGGACTAGAAGTACCAGTTGTTAACCGGTTGTTAACACTTAGTTAATGGAGGATGGTGACTGATAGATAAATGTTCCAGCCTCGCATCCGGTAGGTGAAAAATTCCAGAGGCCTTCTAGATGCTTCTCTGTTGCCCACAGCAGCAACCTCAGTAATGCACTCTGGTATTAGCATTTTTTCCTTTCTTGTCTTGTTCTTCCACTCCCTCGCTCCTGTTTCCTAGAATTCTCCATATAAACTACTTGTACTTAGGTTTTTGTCTTAAGTTGTACTTTCTATAGAATCTAAATTATTAAAGCCAGAATAGTGTTATAAACCACCATAGATAGGTTTATTAAAATATCATTAATCAAAATATTTGTTTCAAAAACTTTACTTCCTATAGTTTTATACTGACACTGGTATATAACTACATCTGAAAGATGTTGCAAAACTGAGGAGGACTTTGAGTATTTAAAAAAATTTCGTTTGCCTACTTGTTTTTAGTGGGCAATTATTACCAATCTGCTACTTAACACATTGAGAGCCCTGTCACTACACAGATATTAGATTAGTGATTAGTGAAAATTTTGTTGTGTAAGAACAATACCCCCCGAAAGGGAAAACTTTTGTGTTTAAAATCAGTGTTCAGGCCAAGACTGAGACTGATGTATACCTGACTGTGTATGTGAGAGTATGTTTGTACGCCTATTATTTTTCTTGATTTGTTCGAATTAGAAGGCTACTAGTTTGGTTTTCAGCTCAGTACTTTTTGAACTCTACGCTTAAAATAACCAATCATTTTTCAAATTTTGAATAGATAAGTGTTGTTATAGTTGAACTATACAATTTAAGTTTATTCTGTCACCAAACAATTGCCTACATTTGAACGTGAGGCAAGAGAACTTAAATCTTTATGTCTAAGGACATTGAATGAAGCCACCTTGATAATTTTTGTTTACTCTTTTGCTTGAGGAAGAAAATGTATATTCTTAGAAAAGTCAGATTTAGAAAATTACGTTAAGGTCATTTATTTAGCCATAGCATTCTCATACCTCTCTTTATAAGAATTCACATTGATATTTCAGATTTCATATTAAGTGTGATGACTGATTTAATTTTTTTAAAAAGATAGTTGCTGGAAATAATACAGTGCCCAGATAATGTACTCAGTTTATAATTTTTATTCAGAACATTTCATAAAGACTCCAAACTTTGGAGAGGCTTTCAAGGTAGTTTCTTTAGTAACATTTTTGCCCTAGGATACAAACGTACAGTATACCTAAAGCAAGTCCAAATGTATAAATAAAATTATTTAACTTGCTTGCTAACTTATATGGCCCTCTCATCCGTCAAACCCTTTTCAATACAGGGACCTGATAAATATGTAGACACCCAAAAGTATAGTTAACTTAATTTATTTTTTTCCTTGTTTTTAGTGGGAGATTTTGATAAGATCTGGCGAGAACATTGCGAGGATGAGGAAACACTTTGTGAATATGCTGTTGCAATGAAAAATTTGGCAGATAATCATTGGGCAAAAAGTTGTGAAGGTGAAGGACGTATTGAATGGTGTTGTAGGTGAGTGTTTTTATGAACTAACATGTTTGGTTTCTAATGTATTGTTGACATGCTCCAATTTAAATAATGCTATGCATAATTTATTATACCAAAATAGAAGTGTTTGAAAACAGTTGATGTCTTTTAAACAACTTCTTGCCCTTTGTTTCACTTCCTCTAAATTTATTTCATTCATCTTTTTAAATCAAAATATTTTTCTTTGACATAACTTTAAATTTTCTGCGTCAGCTTTTTAAAAGAATAGATTTTAAAGTACATTTAACATTAATATGATAAAATATTAAATTTGACATGATTTACCATTAATAAGTTATAGTATAGAAATTTCTTTAGATAAATATTCACATTTGGAGTCAAGTAAAAGTGAGTACTTTTCTATAATTTAAAATTTGAAGACATCTTAAGTTTTAAAATCCTGATTTTTTTGTGTGTGTGATTCAGGGTATTCCAACTTTTATATTGACTTTGGATAATGTTTATTTTCTCATAGTATAGATTCTAATGTTTAAAACATCAGAACGTGAAATACTGATGATCAGCTCTCTCAAAAGTTGATAAAATTATAGGAATGAGTATGTATATTGACTGAATTTTAAAATGAATTCCTAGAAAACAAAGCATTATCTTTCTACATGGACAATAAGTTTGTGATAACTTCAGGTTTGTATTTTATATGTAACTAGAGGCCCATTGCAGGAAGATTCCTGCAAGAATAGGGCTTCCTGAGGCCAGAGCAAAGCAGCGGAGAAGGGAGCGAAGCCTGCCACCTCGCTCCCTCCCTCCCGTCTCTGCTGCCTGGCTTCCTCTCATCTCCACTGCTGTCCCACCCGACCGCCCCGGGTCGCACACTGGAGGTCCGATGGCGGCCGGGTGAGTGGCGGATCACTGCTGTCCTGGCCGGCCGCCCCGGGTCGCACACGGGAGGCCCGGATGGCAGCAGGGCAGGCGGTGGATGGCGCTGTCCCACCCTGCCTGCAGTATGCAAATTAACGGCCATCTTTGTCGGGTTAATTTGCATACTCCTCTGATTGGCTGATGGGCATAGCGGAGGTATGGTCCATTAGCATCTTTGTCTTTTATTAGTGTAGATTATTTTTTATTAAAAATTTCAATGTTAATCTCATTTAAAAATTATATAATAGTGTCTTTCATTCATTCAACAAATGATCTAGAGAAAAAGATGTATTTAAATTAGTTATTTGATTTATTCATTTAATAAGTAATGTTTAGTGTTGTCTGCTGTCTATTAGTTATATCATAGACACTGAAAGTACAACAATCAACCAAACAGGCAAAATCCTTGCTCTCATGTAGTTTATATGCTAGTGGGGATTAGAGGCAAGAAATAATACATAAATTAAATATGTAATAGGTCAGAAATGGTAAGTGCAATGAGAAAAATAAAGTAAGGAAAAATAAAATAGTTTTAAGTAGGGTAGACAAAGAAGGCCTCACTGAAATAATGTGTGTAAAAGACCTGAAGGAAGTGGGAGAACAAGCTCTAATAATTCCAAAGGCCTTGAGGCAGGAGCATGCTGGCATGTTTCAGAAACAGCAAGGAGACCACCAGGGTGGCTAGAGCAGAATGAGAGGGGGGAAATGGTAGAAAATAAGATAATGAACAGCTAGTTTTTGTAGGGGCTTGTGGACTATTGTGAAGACATTGGCTTTTATTCTAAATGAGATGAGAAGTCATTGGATGTTTTGAGAAGAGGAGTGATAGGATTTTATTAGCCTTTTGAAATATTAATTCTTAAGAATTAATTGCTCTGTTAAGGTAGACCTATAGGAAGGGCAGGGTGTAAGTAAGGAAACCAATTTGGAGGCTACTGTAATAATCAAGGCACAAAGTTATAGTGAAACAGTTTTTCTTGGAGGGTGAGGAAGTGAATGGTTAGGATGGTGTAATTGGATTAATGCTCAAATGATTATAATGACTTAAGAGAGTGACAAGTGAGATGAAAGTGTATACATTCTGGTGGTTATGATAATGTGTAAGAAGAAAGTTGAATGTGAGGTGGGTAAGGAGCAATGAATAAATAGGTGGTACCCTTAATGAATTCTGGAACCAAAGAACTGTGGAGTTGGGAAACTATAGGAAGGAATCAGAATAATAGGAAATAGGGTACTTGGAATTAAAATGTTTTTTGGGGGGGGGTGGTGATTGGTTCTGAGAGAAAATGGTTATAAATCTGACTTTTCTAAGAATACACATTTTCTTCCTCAACCTAAGAAATACAAAATCAGGTATACTGCTAAACTAAATATTTCCCTTCTAACACAGAAGAATAATGTGATCCAAACAGGAAATCAGCACCATCACTATTTAAGATCATTATTCTTGGCTTTTAGCAGCACTGCTTTTATATTAGTACTGCAGCCTGACAGGTGTGGCTCAGTGGTTAAGTGTCGACCTATGAACCAGGAGGTCACAGTTTGATTCTGTCAGGGCCCCTGCCTGGGTAGCGGCATGCAGGAGGCAGCTGACTGACGATTGTCTCTTATCATTCATGTTTCTATCTCGCTCTCCCTCTCCCTTCCTCACTGAAATAAATAAAAATATATTAAAAAATAAATTAGTATTACAGTAGATAAGGTAAGTTCTCAGACTTTAATTTTTAAATGGGCTTTGATATTCTCATAGGAGTACTTGTTTGTACTTGCTACATGAATAATGAATCTGCCTCCCACTTCACTCTTCTTTTTCCTTAGATATATGTTTTTATCAATAGTTATTGTATCTACCTATGTTCTGAAAGAGGTTATTTTAAGTCAAACTTCTAAAAAAGAACATTAATAAGAATTTAGCTTAAACTGTTGAAAAAGAACAGTAAGTGGCGAAAGAAAACCAAGATGGTGGCATAGGTAAACACCGGAAATTGCTGCCTCACACAACCATTTCAAAAATACAACTAAAAGACAAAACAGACATCATTCAGAACCACAGGAGGGCTGGCTGAGTGGCAATTCTACAACTAGAAGGAAAGAGAAAAGCACACTGATACTCAGAGGAGTTGCGGAAGTAAAGTGCAGAGGTACGGAGGCGCACGCGGATAGGGCTGGCAACTGGGGACATGGTTGTCTTTTTCAATTGGGAGGGAGTCTCAAGCTCCCGACTGCTCTGAACTCCAGTTCTGGGCAAGTCTCTGGGGACCCAGACTCATACAGGGAGAAACTGGACTGTCTGGCATCAGTCGGAACTTGAGGGCGGCTTTCTCTCAGAGGTACTTGTAGCGTTTACCGGGACATTGAGACGCGGGGCCTCTTAGGGTAGGACTGAGGAGCAGCCATAGCTGCTTGCTCCGTCCTGTTGGTCCCCTGAGACCCCACCCCATCCAAGTTGCTAGTAGAGGCTTTTGCATATGAAAGGACTGGCCCTTTGCAATCTGAAAATTACTTAACAAACTGCAGCTGGGTCAGAGAGACCCAGAACTTCCAAAAGAAGGCCCAAGGCCCCAGAGCAGCTTGCATTGCTTCACAGCTGGGCCTCATCTGGGCACTTCCAAACCCCAAACAAAGAAGAGGAATCTGCAGATCTCACCATAGCTCCTGCTGGGTAACCTCAGGAAGAGGCTAAATTAGCACCTCCTTAGAGATCCAAGAGCCAGTGTACCCAATGGTCAGAGTGGGACCATCCAGATTACAACTCCTCAGATCTATAAAGGACACACTCAAGGGGCAGACTCAGTGTGCACCAAAGCCCCACTGAAGCAAGTCTTGCCCCAGAAGGGTGTCTTCAGCACAGAAGTTCTCCCACTGCAGACACAGCTGATTCTCACAGCCAATTGGCCTGGAGGTCAATTCCTCCCAGTGATACCTACAAGAATCAAGGCTTAACTACAACAAGACTGTGCACAAAGCCCACAAAGGGGTGCACCAAGAGTATTCACCTCAGGTAATTGGGGAGGCTGAGCCACTGGGCCCTACAGGACACCTA